TGCAGACAGGGGTGGTCGTGGCGGCAGCCCCAGGTCGGCATGCCTCTTGCATGGACTCGCCCAGCCCAGAGTCAGAGCCCAGCCGGCCACCTCTGGCTGTCCCTGGGCACAGGTATCTGTCCCCCAGGCCTCCTGGTGCCCCACCTTCTCTGCTTCTTGCCAACACCTGCCACTTCTGTTCCACCTCCTGCTACTGCCCCAAGGCTCAGGTCCGGATGCCTGAGGTTTCTCCAAGGCATAGTCAAGAATTTCCTTTTTTTTTTTTTGAGAGATTTTCGCTATAGGGCGCGTGCGCTCGCCAGACAGACAGAGAGAGACATTAGAGACAGAAAGCGAGAAATCATCCCCCAGGGGGGATGGTCACGCTGCAATCCCTTCTCCTCCATTCTCCTCTCGGGATCTTGGGCACGCACGCACATGCGCCCAGCGTGAGTTTTAAGCCACCGGGTCCGGGACGCGAACAGCGGTCGACTACGTGGGAGTCCAGCGACATAACCATTACGCTAACTGCTGGTTCCCCAGTCAAGAATTTTTCATTCGCAGTTCCCAATAAATGAGTTTAGTCTCAAAACACTGGAGTGTCTCCGATAAAGCCAGTTCCCTCTGACTTACCCACCCAGTCCGAATCCTCTCGAGAGGCTGGCGCTGGCAGGCCGGTGGATCTGCTGGCAGCCTGATGTATGGCCCTTAACAGTGAGAGCACATGTGTGTACCCACCCGCATGTCCACACACACACACACACACACACACGTGCGCACAGTTAGATATATACACGCGTGTACCTGTGTGTATGCAATATATGGGCCCCGCACACAAACCCATATAAACGTGCTGTAACGTATATAATTATACACAAGCACACGTGTACACAGACGCATGCTACATACACCTGTATACCCATACGTATGTACAGACACACGCACACATACAAGCACACACACGTACCACACACATGCACACCTATGCATCTGCATGTGTTTAAGTTACTAGCTGCAGAATTTCCTCGCCTCAGAAGCAGCTGCCCGTGCTCCTCTCCAGCTTTAATGATCTACCCAGCTGCACATCTGTCAGCGACTAAAAAGAAAATGTTGAAAAAGGATGAAACATGGGACCAGCAGTTGGCGTAATGGCTGTGTCGCTGGACTCCCATGTAGTCGACCGTGGTTTGAGTCCTGGACCCAGTGGCTTAAACTCACGCCAGGCATGTGTGTGTGTGTGTGCCCAAGATCCCGAGAGGAGAATGGAGGAGAAGGGATTGCGGCGTGGCCATTCCCCCTGGGGGGTGATTTTTTGTTTTCTGTCTCTTTGCCTCTTTCTGGCGAGTACACGCGCCCTATAGCAAAAACCTATAAAAAAAGAAAAAGGATGAAACTTTAAAAATCATAGATAGCATCTAAGACAATGAAAGGAGGAATACTTTAGGAAATAGACTCGATTTCAGGAGATCTTTCTGTGGCCATTTCCACAAATACGGCTCAGTCCGAACCTCCAGGAAGACAGTGACTGAGGCTGGGCTGAACCATGTTGTGCCACGGGCAGGGGACAGGGACAGTGTGACTGTCTGCTGGCTCCAGACTGCCCCTTCCTCCTGCAGGACCCCTCCACTCCTCCTGCACTGCTGGAAGACTCATGCCTTCCCATCTGGAACCAGCTCCCAAACTCCTACGCCTGCTCCTGCCACCCATCCAGCCTCCCATCTGATCATCAGGACTTGGTGACGCTGTCCCACTGCACTCAGAGCCACCAGCACAGCCCTCTCTTGGTGCCACAGCATCCTTCGTCCCATCTGCCAGAGCCTCTGTCCTCAGCCAGGGCCCTTGCAGGGAGAACTCCTCCTGTCTTGTCATCGTCAATGCCAGCACATTCGATTTGCGCAAGAACACCCCTGTCCCAGCCAGGCGAACCTCGGCATGTCCCTGCCCCCTCCCAAGTAGCGCTGGTGGGATGTGACCTCGTGCACCTGCTGGCAGGGTGAGCTTGCTCCCTCCTCTGCACCAGCACTCAGCCCCGTCTCCGACAGTGCGTGCACAGGTCAGCGGGGAGGACAAGCTTGTGCCCTTCCCGGCCGAGAGCCCACACACGTACAGGCAAGCGTGCCGCCCCCTGCAGGGTGCGCGGGCACAGGCGTGGGCACTCCACTGTTTCATGCCGGAAGTCGAAGCCTAGACTGTCCAAGTGCCCCGCCCTCCCCGTGGGCACCGGGAACGCCACACAGTCCCTCCCAGCCCTCCTGGCTTCTTGGGCTGTGGCTGCTGGGGCCGCCCGCCAGCCAGACGGGCCCTTTCCGCAGACATCTGTGCTGGAGCTGGGGGTGGCAGCACCCGGCGCGTTCCCACCCTCTGCCTGACTGCCCCTGGGCAAGCCTCCGGGAGCCCTCGCTTGTTGTGAATACGCATGGGAAAGGGCGGGGTTGGTCGAGAGCTAATCTAGCCCTGGGAGTGGGCACAAAGAGGGACGTAGCTCTGCAGGTTGGAGGTGGCCATCTCTCAGGACAGCATGGCCAGGACGGAGCTTCCTGGCTGCAGGGCTCAGGCGTGGGGCATCGCTTCCTGGCCAAGTCAACTAGCAAGGTGACTGGTGCCCCGAGCAGTCATCTCTGGCATCCAGATCAGGGGCACACCCTCGCAGCCTACCTATCAAATCCCCGAGCCTTCTCAGCAGGAGCTCCAGGGGTGCCAGGCCCTTCCCACCACACTGGTCAGGAGCTGGTCTCCAGAGCCAACCAGCCTTCAGCTGTTACGATTGCGCTTCTCTAGGGCACCCCAGCCAGTGCCTCACAGCGGCTCAAACTAAGAGGGGTGGGGGGGATCAAACCCTGCCAAGTTGTCCTGCTCCTGGCCCTACTTGCAGCTCTCCAGGGCTCCCAGACCCTGCATCTTCTCTGCTCCCTCTGCCTTCAGAGAGGTCTCTGATCCTGACAGATCGACACCCTACACTCACGCCCTCCCCAGCTCGACTGAACTGCAGAGCGAAGCCTTTCCCCGATATACTCTTGGCTGGGCAGTATCCCCCACATTTATGTCCTGCTCAGTCGCTTAGAATGCAACTGGTTCAGAAATGGGATCGTTGCAGAGGTGAGGGTTACGATGAGTCCATGAGGACATGAGCCCTTCGCCCAACATCTCTGCACACAGGAGACGCAGGAGGTGAGGATGCCGTGCGAGGGCAGCAGGCGTGCGTCTCCAAGCCAAGGAGCACCCAGGTGGGCCGGCCCGGCAGCACTGGAGGTGGACAGAGGCCTGGAAGGGTCCTCCGGGCACCTGCAGGAGCACGGCTCTGTCCACACCTTGCTCATGGACTCCTGGCCCCCAGAGTTGGGCAAGCGCTCATCTCAGCGGGATGGAGCCGCCCGGTCTCAGCACTTGTCAGGGCAGCCAGAAGCCAACCTTGTTCTTTGTCACCAACACAGGTCACCCTGGTGCTCTGCTGCCCTGTCTGCCCCTGCACAGAGCTGGAGCACGTGGAACATTCGAGAACGTCTGTGTGTCAAGGAACCTGGGCAAGCTACCCAGAGCACTTCGCTAGCATTGCTAGCCCGTCCTGGAGGGCTGCCCCACTTTGTGAGGGGAGTTCCCGACAACCTGCCCCGGTAATGACTGCCCCGAGGCCCGCCGGGTCACTCCTGGCACCTCATCACGGGACAGTGTATTCACCGCTAAGGTCATGAGTCGGCGGAGCAGCAGTATCTCGGAGAGACCGTTTTAGGGGTACTAGAAACACTACCCACACCACACACGCACGCCACACATAGAGAAGAGAACCTCACTGCCCTTCCTGTGGAGGCCGGGCAGCCTGGAATCCACTCCCAGCAGAGGCCTGGCAGATCGGGAACTGCTCCGACGCACACATCGCTTTGCGTGCTCATCCAGCCTGGAGAGAGGGGGGCCCCACCTGGACCCCTGAGCTCGAGGGCAGGTGCGTTCCCTGATACAGAGGTGCTGAGTCAGCAGGAGGATCGGGAAGAGTGGACAGGGAAGGAGAACGGGGTGCCATCCGCCCTCCCTTCTGCCTACGGCCTCCATGTGCCCATCGGTGCACGAGTGGGATATCTTAGCCTCCGATCACAAATGCCCACGAGCCCAAGGGACCCTCCACCATCCGCCTGCTCCTCCAGCAAAGCCCTCCTGGCTTCCACTCCCTGCCGCCCAGAGCCCCAAACAGGAAAAGTCAGGATCTGCCAGAAGCAAGCTCAGTGAAACCCCCACTCCAAACCACAGGGGCATGTGCCAGGCATGAGCCCCAGCTGTGGGCCTGACCTCCGCTCCAAGTCACACCGTTTCAGAGAGCACTGGTGGTGAACGTCTCACCGGCTGCCCCGCCAGTCACACCGTGGATATCGGCCTGTTTCCG